ACCATGTGCTCCAAAGTCACGCGGGCACTGACAAAGTCCAGCATCACAGCTGTGGGAAACGAAACTGGACACTGACCTGTGCCCAGACAGGGGCCATGTCAGCACTGACTGAGAGGGTCAGTCCGACTCCTGGCCACACCCTGGCGACCGGCACCTGTGGCCGGGAAGACGGAGGTCACAGCTGACGCCATCAGCAGCAGTTCCTGAAGGAGGAAATGACTTTCTTCTTTCACTTCAGCTTTGGAGTCAACTTGTAACGGGGCCCCCAGGAAAAGTGGGTGCTCCAAGTTCCCTGCCCCAACCACAGGAGGTGGAGCTGAGCGGGGAGGGGAGGGAGCTGGAGAGGAGACCGGGCAGAAGGAAGCAGGATGGAGCCAGGACGGGGCCTGCAGGGCCCAGGCACAGACAGGTGAAGGGCGGCTCTTGTGTCTCGGCCCGGCGCTGGGTGACACAGACGCGGGCCAGTGACCCGTGGGGAGGTGACGGTGGCAGCGTTTATCTTGGTCTTGATGCTGCTCTTCTCCTCCAGACTCGTCTGGCCGCTTCTGACCCTTTTCCTACGGGCCTCCGCCAGAAGGTGCTTGAGACTTTGGCGGGCTCTCAGGCCGTGCTCTGGGCCAGGCCCTTTGGAGTGGACGTTTACCGCCCAGGGGACGGGTCACTTTGGGTGTGTGATTTAGAAACTATATTCTTCATCTTTTCTGTATTGCACACTGATTGCCTTAAAGTTCCTTTCCATGAAAGGTCTTACATGTTTATTCTTGATGTGTGGATGGCAGAATTTAGTTAAGGCAGGTAGGTTTTGGGGTTCAGGGGTGCACCTCTCCTTGCGCTGTAACAGATTCCACAAACATGTTATGTCTGATCTTAGGGCAGCCATTGTTCAGATTTAAGACTTTGATTCCATGGACAGTTTAAATGCTTTTTTCATTTTATTCCAAGCTATTTGACTATTGGCAAAACCAACCTAGAATGCTCTGGGCAAACAGCTAGCAAACCCCCCAGACCCCCGGGTTTTTACACTGCACGCCAAAGCCCTCTCCTTCCGCACAGACTCAGAAATGATGTCGCCCTGGCTGGCTCTGTAGCTCCTTGTTTAATGATTTATCCCAGAACATCAGAGGCAGTGAAGAGGGGTTCTTCATAGGCAATGCCAAGTATCTTTTAAGAAGCCAACAACTGACAGGTAGAAAATCTTTGCAAATAGCACAAAATGTTCACTTGTTCTCCATTCCATTCTGTATGAACGCCTGGGGTTGATGAGACTGAAAAATAATTTCAGTGAAAGCCATTTTTCTAGTTCTGTGGCAGCTGCAAATTCCGTTGCTCCAGAAACAATCCAATCTCCAACCTCCCAATTATTTTTAAGGGTTGAATTAATGCACTAACCACTCGTATTTGAAAATCCATCTTGCTGAATTATCAGGATCATGTATAATGGGTAAGTAGACAAAGGATTTACTGATTTACAAAACTGTTAGCATCTTTGACATTTATTTGAAAGAAAACAACGCTTTAGCTTATTTACTATTTCAGCGATAATTTTGTCTTATGAGACAGAAGACACATTTCAAGGGAGCACGTGAGAGGCTTTTTCCAAGATCCATGGAAAACAGCGTACAAAGCCCCCGCAGCCCGGGATGCGGGGGGTGCGGGTTGGGCGGGTGGAGGAGCAGGAGTCCACGGGAAAGGGTCCCCTCATTTGGGCCCGCGAAAGTGAGGTCCCCACAGCTCATTTGTACTGCTTAAAAAATGTAAACATCGACTTGTCTCAGGCCCAGCTTCCCATCAGTTATAAGGCGTTCGTCAGGACAGTACATTTACCATGAGCTCCCTTTATCCCCTCTCTCACCCGGTCAAGACTCATGTGGGTGGATGGAAGGTCACTCACTCTGGACACAGCTCTTACCCTCTTGATATGGAGCCCTGACACTGTCTGACTAAGGCAACACCCACATCCCAGATGGAGAAGTGGGGGGCCCTGGGGAAGAGGATGGCTTGGGGGCTGAGCTCTTGAAGGAGTCAGGCAAGTTCTGGAGAAGCGTCCGCTGGGTGGGCGCTGGGAGTCTCTTGGGTCTCAGGGTGCCATCAGGTGACGCCTCTCAGAACTGCCCACTGAGGCGCTCTGTAGGGCCCAAACGGCCAGGGTTCCCGGGTTCCCTGGACTTGTGGTCACTGCCAGTTTGGGCAGATGTGGCTTCCCTGTTGAAGCCTTGAGAAGGCTCGGGCCCCAGGGCACCAGGGGCGGGCATGAGGGGCCGACCCGGCAGTCTCAGTGGGGACAGGACTCTAAATGGCTCCTTGTTCTGACCAGCAGGCGACTGGAACCTCCCAGTGCGGGGGAGGAGAGACAGCGCTCGGAGAAGAGGTCCTTCGCGCTCCTTCGCCAGACGGTATGCAGCCGTTGGCAGGTGCAGCGCCAGAGGAGCTGCCTTCTCAGGGGCCGAGGTCACTGGAAAGCCGGAGGAGCCTGGTGTGAGTGGGCAAAGCGCAGACGGAGGGCCGAGCTCCCGGCGCAGCGCGACAGGTGGCTGTGTCCTCTCCTAGGCGATCAGCCGCCCTGAGGTTCCATCCAACATCCCTCCCAGGAACCAGGGATTTTATGCAAAATTCAGCCTATGGTCCCGGGCGCACTCCGCGGGATGAAAGCAGATGTATTTTTAAACAACAAAATGTGTGTGTGTGTGTTTGATGATGGTCCAAGCTTTAATAGCTCGGTAAAATATTTATCTTATTTCTTACAGCTAGGGTGCTATCGATCGGACACTGACAACGTTTGGGAAGGTCAAAGCACAGCACGACGGAACCCTAGAGGTACGGACGGATCTCCCGTGGGGACGCAGGCCGCCCCGGCCAGGCCCTGTGGAAGGCGCCCCCCAGCCGCCGGGAAGAGGCGCAGGCTCGGGAGCGCCCTGCAGTGCCGGCCTCTCTTCCAGGCGGTGGAGGGCTGTGGGTCTCCTCTCTTCCAGGCGGTGGAGGGCTGTGGGTCTCTCTGGTTTGCAATTTCAGGCAGCAGAGGGTCCTAGCAAACGACCCGACCCGTTCCGGCTAATCTTCCTCTGGACGCCACGAGCCCTGAGCTGCCTCAGCTCCTGCCCCTGCGCTGATGACAGGCGCTCGCGGGCCGGGGCGGCGCAGGGCGTGCGGAGCATGACTCGGACACGGAGGGAACACGGAGGTCGGCGGCGGCCGCTTCTGGGGTGTCTCCTTCTTTTTTTAACAAAGGGAATAATTTAACAAGCCAGGAAAGGCAAGAGTTTCTGAGGCCACTGGGGCCGTTTACTTTCTCCGAAGTCGTGTCCAGTCCTGTCCAGTCCTGCACAAAGACCCTTATACCGAGGGCGTCTTCCCGCTTCTCGTTGCCGGCTCCTCCCGGGCGGAGCAGAGCTGGCCCTGTTCCCGCGCGTCACCCCACTCAGCGCTTTTCTGGGCGCTGTTTTCTACCAGCAACCCCCTCCAGGGGACGCCATCTGCAGCCGCCTACAGTCCAGCTCCTGGTATCACGACCTGCATGTGACCCCGAAACAGTTAAATGCCCCTACTTATCTTGCTCGTTTTTTTGCATTGTTTTTATTTGGAGAAAAAAATGTCCTTACAGAAAAGTATAGAAAATGATACTGGTGTTATCAAACCCAGAAGGATGATTGTTAACATTTTGTTTATAAACTTTAGAAACATATAATTGATATTGTGGGACGTGTCCTTTTTTGAGTTTTTTTTTTTTATCTCTGTATTTATTTATTTTCTGGGGTGTTTTCTAAAGGGGGTGGGAGGGGCTGCGGGAGGAGGGGAACCAGCACCCCCTGAGTGAAACAAGGTTTGTGTGGAGGGCTCTCCAGAAGGGCCCCCCTTGTCATCCAGGGGAGGAGACTGGGAGTGGACCCGGCTGGTGACCCACAGACACCAGCAGAGAATCAGCCACCTCCGGAGCTCACCGGCGCCAGCTCTCGGGTCTCTGGAGCAGAGCGGGAGACGGAGAGCAGCACCCCGGGAGGTGGAGGCCTGTCAGGGCTGTGCCTGGGGCAGGTGGGCAGGGAGGCTTGCTCCAGGTGGCCTGGGTGGGAGCCAGCCTGGCTGTGGAGGGAGGGCTCCCAGCCTTCTGCAGAGGAATCCCAAGTGCGTACAAGCAGTCAGGAGACCGAGAAAACAAGAAATGGTTGCACACGTTACCTTTTCTATTTTCTATTTGTGGACACAGCATGGGAGGCAGAGATGACCCCAAGATTCCGTCATGCAGGAACGCTGCATTTTTTCCAGCAGACTGTTTTTGACCGACAGAGAATGGGCTCCGTTCCAGAGCCTTGCACTGTGCTTATCTTCTCTCCTTTCCTATAATATGACAACTCTTGTTCTAAACAGGCCAGGAACAGCCTTTTCCCAAAGTTGCAAGTGCTGTGGGCTTCTTGTCTCTCGTCCTGCTGTGAGAGGAGAGCATCATTTTGAACTCGAGTAGGCAGATTTACCTCCAAAAAAGACCTACCCCCGGGCACAAAGCCGGTTCCCTCCCGATGTACATGGGCATGCGCCGAGTGGCCATTTTCTGGACACCACCCTGGCTAGGGCCAGGGAGGGACGCTGATGAGCCTGGCCTGGCCCAGACCCAGCCGGTTCCCCTCCGCCTCTCACCACACATCTCCCGGGCACCCAGTGTCCCCCGAGGCTGGAGGTGTATTTACAACGGGGGGCTCGGTGGCCTCCCGGCCTCCCCCTGAGCGCCCACGCCTCGTTGCCTGCCCTGGGCTCAGCTTGAGCAGAAGCCATCCACGTGGAGCAAATCCCACAAAACCATGTCAAAAAGGGGAGGAAAATAAAGCAAAACCAAAGATGGATGGGAAGTGACTCTATGCTAAGAAATCACCCCATCAATCACCCCATGCTTCAGAGATCGGCTTGCTGGCCATTTGGGGGCCATTTCTCTCGGGATGCCTCTGCCGGAACAGTGTTCCTGGCCACGGGGGGTCTGGCTGTCCTGCGAGCCTCGAAGGAAAACTGTAGGCAGATGCCAAACCACAGAGGACGTCATTTTATTGGCGGTCCACGGGAACTGGCCACACAGGACGTGGAGGTGAGTACAGCGTGATGTCGGCCTACGCGGGGGCTCCCCGACTTGGGCAGGACCCCACCCGCACCCCCTTGCTGGCGCCATCAGCCCGTGGACAAGGAAGCTGAGTGAGCTGGCAAGGGAGGGCGCTGTCCTGCCACCTTCGTTCGTCTCCCCACAAACAGCAATTGAGAATTCACAAAATAAAAAAGAGAGAGAGAGAGAAAGGAAAAGAAAAAAGCAGCACGTCCTCCCGAGCCCCATCACCGCGTGGCGGGAGCGGAGGTGGTGTGCGAGCCCGTCTTGTTCTCCAGGTGTGTGTGTGTTTTACGTGAAGAGACGGAGCGGCAGGTCTATGTCCCATATCAGCAGCACGGCCCTGCAGTGCGACTTCGGTCCGGCCACAGGCTTGGTGCCTTCTATGTCTGTCTCCACCGCAGCAAGCGGCCCCGAGCGGGACCTCCAGCCCGCGGCCCTTCCTCCCGCCTCCACCCCCTCCCTCTCCAGGTGCCCCCCTTTTCATCCCAACACCTGCAGATGGCCCCTCTCTCTGTCATCTCAGCAGCTGGGCAGGAGGGAGAAGCCAAGCAAAAGCCAGCTGTGAGCAGTTGCGTCTGGCTCAGCCACCAGGTGGGTCCCGCCTTTACGTGGCCTGTGGGCCCCAGGACCTGGAGTCTCCGTGGCCTTGGGTCAGGGGAAAGCGTCCCCGGGGCCCACCCCGGCCTCCTGTCCCCGGGCCGGGCCGTGGTCACACGGAGCTGAGTTTCACCAGGCCTCGCACCGAGTCCTCGTGCAGGGAGTCCTGGCTGGCCAGGCCCAGCAGGTGCATGGTGCGGCTGGGGGCCAGCGGGCTGCCCCCCAGCATCCTGGGCGGCGAGGGCGCTTCCTCTGGGGTCAGGAACTGGTGGCCCATGGGCTCCTCCTTCAGGGGCAGTATGTCTGTGAGCGTGGCCTCCGTGGCGAGGTTGGGCATGGAGGAGGGCGGCGTGGGCTGCCCAAGCGTCAGGCTGGTGCAGGGCGTGCCCAGGCCCGACTTTCCCGGCGGGTGCAGCTCGTCGCTGGTGAGGCTGGGCTCGCTCTGCAGCAGGGGGGTGGCTGCCGCCTGCAAAACGAATTTGGTGCTCTGAATGCACTGGTCTTGGTCACACTGGAGAGCAGGAGGGAGTCAGCAAAGGGAAGGCCAGAGGAGAGGGCAGGGGTGTGGGGGGAGGGGCACAGGAGAGAGGGAGGGGGGGAGAGAGAGAGAGACCTGTTAGTGAACCTCAGTTAGGCAGGGCCTGAGCACACACAGGAGCCGGCCCCGGGCGACACCGCGCATGGCAAATACCCAAATAAGCGGCTCACTCATAGTCACCCCCGGGCGCCCAGCGCCCCCAGCTCTGCCCCCCGGAGTTACGTGAAGGCGACACTTCTGCCTTTTGTTCCTGCACAGGACCTTTTTTGAGAACCACCCCGTGGTCTTTTCTGCAGCCCGAGATAGTGGACTCGTATGCTGGACTCTCATGCACTGCTCCAGACCACAGGGCCTGGACACGGCGTGGAGGGGCGGGGCTGTTCTTCACAGCAGCCAAAGGTGGAAAGGAAGTGTCCATGACAGACGAATGGATAATCAGGGGACAGGTTGCCCCTGCAATACGGAAGTAGAGTGTTCTTATTTCACATGATTTGGAGGTTATTTTGGGGTCTGGGGAGACTATTGCTATTAATTTATTTTTAATTGAAAAATATTTTAATTATTTATTAATGCACAGAAGAACTGGGGTGCAGGCCAGAGCTGTGGGCGATGAAGGGATTCACCAGAGACAGAGTGGGAAGCAGAGCAGGCAGATGGACTGAAATCCACTGCTGAGGGGAGCAGCGGGCGGGACAGGAGAAGGGAGAGATGCCATTTGACACATAGTAGGTGCCTTCTGGCACACAGTAGGTGCCATTTGACACTCAGTAGGTACTGAGACCTGGTCCCATCATCCCCTCCATTCTTTTGGGAGCTCTGAGTTAATATGGAACTAGAACATTGTACTATTGTCTTTGCAACTGGGGTGCTTCACCTGCTTACTGCCAGGCTCGCCCAGGAGGGTCCCTCCTCCACTTCCAGGCACAGAAACAACAGAGGCCTGAAACCGCAGCCGTGGGGGCAGAGAGCCAGTTCCCCCCAAACACAGCTCCTCAGGCCTTCGTCTCATCCGCCCAGAGAGTGTGTGTCCTTTCTGGCCAAGTGGGTTTCTTTCCAAAACCACAGTGCTAAGCCTCCCCCAGCCGGCCCTCTGATGGGACAGAGGTGGAGGAGCCACGGCCCACAGATGCGGAGGTTTTAGAAGCCCAAAGACCTTGGTTCCAGACTTTATTCTCAAAAAGCTTTAAAATCTCCGGGAAGATCCTGGCTTTTCTGTCAGTTTCATCCCAGCCCCGGGAGCTTCCCCACACCGAGAAGGGGCAGGTGGGGAGGCCGCTCCAGGGAGGAGGTGAAACGCCAGAGCGCGTGTGGGGCCCAGGGCTGGGAGCCTCCGGGCTCTGCACCGGCGCTGACCCAGATCGTGTCTCAGCAGCACTTTGCCCATGGGCGACTGGGCAGCGTGGGGGACGGGGTCCTTCCGTGGTGAGGCCTGGCAGTGGGAGGGGCGGCCGACAGCCTGGCCTGGGGGTTCCCTCTGGTCCCCAGCACAGTCAGCTGGTTCAGCTCGGCTCCTTCTGGACCGGGCAGAGGCAGAGAGCAGCTCCCCTGATTAAACATTCATTTTCTGGACATGACCCCAGGGCCTGGGGCAAACTATCCTTTGCAGAGGTTTCTATGAAAATCACCAGCTAGTCTCCTCACAGACAGGACTGGGCAGCTCAGTGCCAACCCCTCTCCCTCACCGCCCCCCATTCGGCTCTGCTTCCAGCAACCCCTGAAAATGGGTCAGGACCGAGGTGCCGCCGGAGAGCTGGGCTCTTACTCCCTCTCCCTGGTGACGGGTCTTGGCCTTCCCACCTGGAGCCCTCGGTCATCCTAAAACTGTCCACCCAGCGCCCACTCCGAGGTGAGAGGAGCTACACATTAGAATTGTGAACTGTTTTCTTGAAAGCTAATTGGCAGCTTCTGATTTAGCGATCAGCTCAGGCCCGTTCAACGGCTCTTGGAGACTCACAGGGGAGTAGGTAGCGTTCAGGTTGGAGACTTTCAGGGTCAGGGGGCTCAAGTGTGAGGGGAGCTGGTCCCCCCCTCTGCTGCTCATCCGGCGGGCTGTTACTGTGCTCTGTGTGTGATGTGCTCTGTGTGTGTGTGTGTGTGTGTGTGTGTGGAGCAGTATGAGGCGTGGTATGTGGTGTTAATGGCGGGTGTGTGATATGTGTGCTGTGTGCTGTGTATGGTGTGCTGTGTGGTGTTTGTGGCGTGTGGGTGCGAGGTGCGATGCTGACATCAGTGAACACAATTGCAGAGACCATGAACCTTGGTGTCTACATCTTGTTTGCATCCCATGCCTTTGAGAATAGTTTCTCACACTTAACTGAACTCCCCTCAGAAGGTCAACCCCTGAGGGGTGCCCAGGGGCCAGGATTTCTTCTATAGGATGGTGGCCACATGACTTCCTACTGTCTTCTACGGGGACCCTCAAATGGGAGACTACAGCTTTTATTGATTCACTATGATTTAATTATCCCAATCACAGATCTATTCCACTCAGTTGAATTTTAAATTCTCCTAATATTAAATGTGTGTTTTGAAGATCCTCTTAGAAGAAAGTTATTAATTAGGGATATCTGATTTTCACCTTCATTTTACACCTGCCAAGAGCCCTTCCTGGTTGCAATTCCCACTGGGGTACTTCCAGAGAAGCTGGCTGACATTTTCGGGGTTACTATGGAGATGACGTATGACAAAATGTTCTCACATCTCTTCCTTTTCTTTTTTTACTTTTGCTCCTAATTCCTATCTGGCCATTCCTTGTTGAATTTTCTACTTAATTTTCTCTCTGAACTCAACAATTCTCCTCTTCCCTTCCATCGTTTCCTTTCAAGTGTTTCCCCTCCCATTCTTCCTTTTCTCTTCCTTCTCTTCCTCTTCCTCTCCCCCACTCTCTCCCTTTACCTTGAATCTTAGGTCCCTCCCCCACGTTCTGGTTTTTCATTTGCGCACTCCGACCTTCCACCAGTAGAGGGCGTCATTACTGCTCACTTTCCCCCCTCACAGTGGGAGCTGGGCTGCAGGCAGGGAGCCCAGGAAGCCGCCAAGAACATCTGAATTCCTCTGACCAGTTATATAATCTTAAGGAAGAACAACCAAGCACCAGGATATTGGACAGTGACAAGCCGTCTACCATGAACAGGAAATTGAGAAACATGTTTTCATTCCAAGACAGCCCTTTACAAGTTCATATTTATCAAATATTGGCTTGAACCACATAAAGTTGCCACGTTGAAGGTCAAAAATCATCCACAAGCTGAATACTAGTAGAGTAAGGACTCGATCGCTGGTCAGAGCAGCTATGAACAGACCCTCTGCCAGCAGCACAGATGTGGCACTTTCTGGAGTGCAGAGCATTTTCTGTATCGGCGATAAGTCACCGTGATGCTGGCTGATTTATTGCCCAAGTGATGAGTTGGCATTTAACTTGAAAAGAAGTTTACAGGTTTCTGTGCGCAGATGTCATGCACATTATCACTTAATGCTGCAACTTAGACACACCATGAAGATAATTCACTTTTGTTTCTGCAGCTTTTCAATAAAACCATTCATACTGGAATATATTTTATTTTACTCTAACTCTCTTCTTGCCTGAAATAAACCAAAGATTAAACCTTGCTAAAAGCAAAGCTAGGCATTTTTCTGCAGTGTCTGTATACAAATTAAGGATGAATGAAATAATTTATTTCTTTTGTTCCAGTTCTGCCAAGAGTATTATCACTGGGCTTCGCTTGGTGTGAAGCTGTGCACAGGGGTCTTAGGAATGTCCCTTTCTAGTCATAAAAACTCACAAATGTCTAAAGTCCACCCACACTGTAGGCGAGGAAGAGCGCTTCCTTTTAATTTTTTTTTTTTTTGCTTAACATTATCATTTACGTTTGTCTAAGTCATTTTATTCCATTATACTTGATTCTTCAGGGTATGCACATGGAGAATTCTTCTCAATACTAGCTCAATAAATCATCAGTTGTTTTCACTTTGATAAGGGGGATTCAAAAATTAAGTAAATAAATGATTTTCTAAAAATAAAAATTCCAACAGCTATGCACTGTTACTATCTTTGTGTGTAGCATGAGATCCCAAAGGATCTTTGTGGCTGCAAGTGCCAGATGTAAATAGAAACTATGACCCTTAGGCCATTCAGAACCTACACTATTAGACAATCAAATGAAATACGCATGAAGAAATGGACGATTAACAGGACTGTGCAAACACGCACCGTCATGGGCCAAGTTCAATATTAGGTAGTCATAAAAGCCAACAGGAAGGATGGAACTACGACCCTCAGCTGCCCTGGCGTGGCTGAGGCTGCCCAGGTTTGATAGCTGCTCAGGCCACAGGAGCTGCCTCTGGCCATGAGCACCATCTCAGTGCTTGGCTGTGACTCATCACGAGCTAACATTCTCTTGTGGTGGGAAGATGACTTACACACCAAATGATCATCCCCCTCTCGGTTATGTGAAACAGTAACAGTGAATTTTTTCATTTTTGAGATATTAAATAAGAGTACTTTGAGGTCAACTTTTGATCGATATTTACCTAGTTTTTCTGTCCTGCGATAGCAGGTGTTTATCCAAGTCTTTAATTTCTAAAATAGAGCCTATTTCTCTAGGAGCACTTTTCCTAGAAGTCAGGTGATACCTTTCTGATTTGGGTTTTGATTCCTAAATAAAATAATAGATAAGAATTTGACCAAAAACACCTCAGCCTCTTTCTTGCCAACCATTCCTCCTTTGCAGGTCAACACACCAAGCCCAGTGCTAATTTATGTCTCCAAATGCTTCTCCTCTGAGCTAAGCACTGTTCAGACTAATCACACCCAAGGCTTATTGTCATTAAAATGTGTTTGGGGCTTATGGCAAAGAGGGCTGCAATATTTTCTCCAGTGACACAGATAAGGCTTCTCTTTCCAGGGATGATAGGCAAAAGCTGGTGAAACATGAAATCAAATAGTCTCCAAGAGTGTCCAACAGATGGTGCAA